AAAATCCAAACAGAGCAATGAGAGAGGGATGGAGGGAAGATGGTGGCACTGAGTTGGTCCTTGGAGAAAGTGCCAGGGTCCGTTCCAAGAATGGGGTTTACCCTACACAAGAAGTAAAAGAGATTAAGATGCAAGACTGGGGAGCGGGTTTGTGAATGAAGCCTACCTTCAAACCTTAGATGAGGAAGTCAGGCAGTGACCACAGGCAGCAGATTATATCCTTAACCTCAGCCTTTGGTCAATGTGTACTGTCAGTAACAAGTAGAACTGGGCAAGAGATTGTAGAGATCCAAAATTGCCCAAAAGAGTTTATCCCTACAATCCAAACTGGAGAAAAGAAGTGGATGAATGTATGTGAATGAATGGCCTGTTATCTAGGCTAGAGATGCTTAATCTGGAATCCATGGATACATTTTCAGGGTGAACTTGGGTGGGGAAAAAATTACATCTTTATTTTTATTAACCTCTAACTGAAATGTAGCATTTTTCTCAGTCATAAATTAATAAACATTTATGAAATGCCTACTATGTGCCAGTCACTGCTAAGCAATGGGAAATTAAAGAAAGGCAAGATAGTCCTAGCCTTCAAGGAGCTCACAGACTTATGGGGGAGATGACATGCAAAAAAAACCCAACATATAGAAACAAGCTATATATGTGATAAATAGGGTATGATCAAGAGAGGGAAGGTACTAGAACTAAGAAGGATTTGGAAAGGCTAGGGTAGAAGGTAGGATTTTAGCAGGGACTTGAAGGGAGCCAGGGAAACCAGAAGGTGGAGACGAGGGGAGAGAGCATTTGTGGGATAGCCAGTGAAAATCCCCAGATTTAAGATATGGAGCATCTTGTTTAAGGAACAGCAAAGAGACCGGTGTCACATATGTGTGTGTGTGGGGGGTGAGATATAAGGTATGGGTGTGTGGTGGGGATGGGCTACTTATTTGCCAAACAGAGGATTTTGAATTTGATCCTGGAGGTGATAGAGAGCCTCTGAAATTATTGAGTAGGGAGGTGATATAGTCAGACCTATACTCTGGGAAATTACTTTAGTAGCTAAGCATAGGCTGGACTGGAGAAGAGAGAGAGAGAGAGAGAGAGAGACTTATGGCAGGCAGAACAACCAGAAGGTTATTGCAAAAATCCAGGTGTGCACCCTGGTGGTAAAGAAGTGGATATATTGGAGTGATGTTACAAAGGTAAAATTGGCAGGCTTGGAAACAGATGGAATTTCCTTTAATTATGAATGTATGTCACAAACCACAGTACTATTAGAAATGTCTGTGACTTTGTTACTAATAGAAATTGCTGATATTTTCATATCACATTATAGTTGTTACAGATGTCTCAAAATATCACTTACATTCATCGCTATTTTGAAATTAATGTAATTATTAGACCTGCTACCAGATCACATATGGCTATAATCTTCCTGTCTAGAAACCATATTTGACTATAATTTGTTTCCTTTCGAAGGCTATTTATTTTATTTTATGAATTTAAAAGCATTATTAGAGAAAGGATCCATAGGTTTCACCAGACTGCCAGAGATGTACATAACATTAAACAGATTAAGAACCCTTGGTGTGGACCACAATATGAACATACATATAGACATACACATAAACACAGGTATGTGTATATGTATGTATACACACATTCACATGCATATATGTATATATAGGTGCAGCTAGGTAGCACAGTGGATAGAGCACTGGTCTTGGAACCAAGAAGACTCATCTTCATGAGTTCAAATCTGGCCCCAAACACTAACTATGTGACTCTGGGCACTTAACTCTGCCTTAATTTCTCATCTGTAAAATGAGCTGGAGATGGAAATGACAGACCACTCCAGTATCTTTGCCAAGAAAACTCCAAAATGAGGTCACAGAGAGTCAGACAGGACTGAAATGATTCAACAACAACATACATATACACACATATACATACATAAATAAACACATATATAGGCACTTGAATGGACAATCCATATAGCTGGTTCAGTAGTTCATATAGCTTGGAGCTTGAAGTGATACTGTGGAATTGTCCAAATCCATCACTAGAAACACATCTTAATGCACATATTCTACTGATACTTGGTTAGTAGCATCATCTCTGTATATAAGGGATAGCAAACTGTGTCATTATATATAATAATTGCTAGGGGTGATGGTGTATACCTGTAGTCCCTACTGCTGCTGAGGAACCCGAGGCTGGTAGATTGTTTGTGTTTAGGTGTTCTGAGCTATAGTAAGGCTAAAGCCAATCAGGTGACTGCATTAAGTTGGACACCAACATGGTGATCCCCAGGAGCAGCTGGCCACCAGGCTGCCTAAGAAAGGCTAAACTAGCCAGATTAGAAACTAAAGATCAAAGCTTCCATGCCAGTCAATATTGGGGTCTTGCCATGAGTGGCCACTTTCTTTCCCAGCCTAGATGAGGTAGGGAGACACAGTCATAAACAAAGAGATAAATACTCATAACTAGAGTGTCAACATTGATGTAATATCAATCCTCTAATATCATCCTAATCTCTAAGAACATAACATGGTATTTAGAAGACTTGAACTTGAGTTTGAGTTCTGACCGATAAATACTAGCTATATAACCATGAGAAAGTTACTTAACTTCTCATTGCCCCAGGATCAATAAATTACAAATGAATTGCTCATCTGTATCAAATTTAAGGGGAGTTTCCATGCAAGAAGCTGACTGTGCTGATGAAATTATCGGTCCAGAATAAACAGAAAAGGAACCATTTTAATCCTAAAAATGGTAACTTCTATTAAAATATAAAGATGACTTTCAATGTTCTCTTATTTTTTCAAAAATATATAGCCAACCTGCAGTTTTCCATGGCTGAATCATGCACTGGAGAATAACTTTTCGAGAAGTGGTAGACTCGTTTGTAGGGGTGTGCTGGAGCCAGCTCAAATCAGCTTCCAAAAGTCAATTGTTAAATTTTGTTGTTGTTGTATCATTTCTCTTGTGTCTGACTTTTCATCACCCCATTTGGGGTTTTCTTGGCAAAGAAACTGGAGGGGTTGCTGTTTACTTCACCAGCTCATTTTCACAAATGATAGTTGAGGCAAAGTGGGTTAAGTGACTTGCTCAGGGTCACACAGCTAGTAAGTGTCTAAGGCCAGAATTGAACTCAGGAAGACGAATATTCCTGACTCCAGGCCTGACATTCTATCACTGTGTCCCCTAGCTGCGTCATTACATTTTTAGTATGAGCAATTATATTTTGGAAATTGGCAAATGCTACAAATGCTTAAATTATTATTTTGTTGGTTGTTTAGACTTTAAAAAGTGATTGAAGGAGAACATTTTAATAATGCAGATTAAACTTTAATGCACGTCATGCATATATTTTTTTTCTGGATAAGAAATGTTCTCTCAAACATTTACCAGCACACCGCTGCATTGGGATTGGGTTGTGTGAATGTGGTGCTCTTCAGATATCCACCGAAGTGATTTTTGGATTTCAGTCTTCACATAATTAATTGGTTTGTTTTTCTCCATAAGAATCTTGTGATACAGATCCATAAGGGACAACTTTACTGATTCAATTAAATATCTTCTGCCTTAGGTTCCAGCTCATTTTACAGATGAGGAAATTGAGGCAAACAGGGTAAAGTGACTTGCCCAGGGTCATACAGCTAAATGTTTGAGACCAGATTTGAACTCATGAAGATGGGTCTTCCTGACTCCAGGCCCTGCAGTCTATCCACTGTTCCTAGCTGTTTTCTTCCTTTATTGCACTAGAAACACGTGACTCATGTCTTACTTTCCCATGTAGCCCTTTCCCTCCAGTCCAGCTAATCTATTTGCTACCTCTTGCGTATAACTTCTTCCTGCCTATCTGCCTTTGTACATGCTGTGCTGATCACCAGGAAGGCCCTCTAGTCTAGTTCTGAGCAAACCTGCCTTAGAAGATCATCTCCTTTCAGGACTAGATGTTTCATAATATTCCTTCCCATTCACATGCTCTGTGTTCCAGGTAGAGTTGCTTAGTAACTATTTCCTGGACTCAACATTCCACTTTCCTGCTTTATGTCTTTGCAAGGGGTCCCAGACACAGAAAAAAGATTAAGAAGCTCTGAATTAGATGATCTTTTAATGTTCCCTCCAGCAATAAATTCTATATTCTTACTTAATCACATTTTTCTTCTCAGCACTTGTAGATTCAGTTTCCATTATATTATTTCACACTTACTGTCAAGTCATTTTTTTGGGTGTGGTTGGAGTGGGTAGATGGAGGGTGGTTGTGATGTATCCAATTATTTTGTAAACTTCTTCTAAGTTAGACCTGGGGCTTTATCCTCTCTGGTATTCCTCTAACACACCTACTACAATACTCTGCCCACAAAAGATGCTCAATAAATATTTCCTTGAGGGTGGGCTTGCTTGTCAGTCTAGCTGTTTCAGTCAATGAAAGCATGGGTGAGGGGAGGAGGAGAAGAAACGACTGAAGCCAGGAGGTTGGATTTACTGGTCCTCTGGTCTTTTTCACAGGCTACCATCTTGACTAGCATTGGAAGCAGGAAAACTGCCACAGGCCATTGTGGTAAGAGTTTGAGTGAGTATCTTTGACCTAACCTAGGTCTTGAGGTAGGGCTAGTTGATTTTTGGCTGGCTGAGTGAGTTTAAAGAGATCAAAGAGAGGAGAAGTAGAGAATTTTAGGATCAGGAAATGCAGGCCTAACCAGATCTTAGCTAATAAGTTCTCTCCTTTTCTCCTGAAGGTTTTCTAGAGCCTCTGGTACCCTGTGCAGTACTGTCCACTGTCAGTCCATCCTTTATATCCTCCCATGCAGCATCCACCTTATTTGCATCAGCCAGCTCTTCATCAGTTGGGCAAGGCTCAGCTTCTGCTGTGCCTCCTGTACAGGACTCCTAGAAGGGCCTCTAGATCTCTAGCAGAGAGAGGTCAGACTGAACCCTGGAGATGCTCTCTACCTCTGTCCGCCAAGGCGAGTGTAGTAGAATCTCTGCCTCACCTGGGAGTAGTTCGGGCCATGGATCAACTCTGCCTCCCTCTTCACTCCATCACAAAGCCAAATGGTGCAGGTCCCTCTAAGCTGGGCATCAGCCTCGGGGGTCGCACTGCAGGATCAGGAAGGAGTTGGATCCTTACACACTAATCCATTAAGCTTGCCTGCTGTCCACTGGACTACAGAAGAGACAAAGCTCCTCTTGTCCATCTTGGAGAAACCAGGTTTCTTGAGTTGCCTCCGCTCACTCAGGCAGAATACTCTAACCTATGCTGAGGTGGCCAAGAGGCTTTGGCAGTCAGGCTACCTGCAGACACCACAGCAATGCTGGAGCAAGTTTAAAGCCCTCCAGGTATCTTACAGGAGGGCAAAGGCAGCAGGCCTAAATTCAAGGACAGCTGCCCAGGCCTGCCCATATTTTGAACAACTCTCCTAGCTGCTGGAGAACCAACCTGCGGTCAACCGGGCATGAGAGCATCAGGAAGAGCAAGAAGTAGATGAGACAATAAAGAAGGTAGAAGATGGTAAGCTGAAGATTGTAGAAGACTGCCCAGCACAACCAGGTAAAGATGCAAGAGAGATACAGGATAGGGCTCTCTTTCTCTTTCTGTATGTCTGTATATATACATATACATACACACATACATGTATATATATTGGAGAGGATAGGATTTATGATTTTACCTGTGCTTGCAACATTGAGTAAGGAAACTTCCTCCACAAATACAAATCACCCCTTGCTCTGTGACTTACGTCTTAGATGCTCCTGAGGCACTAAGAGGCTAAGAGACTTGTCCAGGATAAGCTAGGTAACCAGTGGATAGAGTGCTGGGTCTAGAGTCAGGAAAACCTGAGTTCAAATCCTCCCTCAGACACTTGTGTGACCCTGAGCAAGTCACTTAACCTCTGTTTACCTCATTTTTCTCAAGTGTAAAAGGCAGACAATAATAAAACCTACCTCCCAGGGTAGTTTTGAGGATGAAATTGTGAAGGGCTTTGCCCAGTACTTGGCACATAGTTGTTCAGTCAGTTTTCAGTCATGTCTGATTCTTTGTGACACCTTTTGGGTTTTTCTTGGCAAAGATACTGGAGTGGTTTGCTCTTTCCTTCTCCAGCTCATTTTACAAACAAAGAAACTGAGGCAAACAGGGATAAATGATTTGCCTCGAGTCACACAGATTTAAAAGTGTTTGGGGTCAGATTTGAACTCCGATCTTTCTCACTATAGGCCCGGCACTCTATCCATTGCACCATCTAGCTGGCACATAGTAGGCTCTGTATAAATGTTTATTGCCTTCCCATCCCCTTCCATAGCATGTAGCCAGTATGTGTCAGAGGCAAGATTTCCCATCTCAGAAATCAGCTCTCCACTATGACAAGCTGCCTCTCAGCACAATGTTTATACTGTGTATGTGGCCACATATATTATTTCACATATATGCATATATGTATATACATACATATAGATGTGTATATACCTAGAGCTATGTGCATATGTACACATACATATATGTATTGTGTGTGTAAATATACATGTATGCATTTCTGTGCATGTGACCACACATACATTATTTACTTCTCTATGTTCATGTTATTTCCCCCAACAGAATGTAAGCTCCTTGAGAACTGGGACTTTTTCCTGTTTGGTCTTGTATCCTTAGTTCCCAACACATAATAAGTGCTTAATAAATGCATATTGAATGAACACATGAATGAACACCTGCTTATAGGGAAAAGTATTATGTGAAAGATATACAAAGAGATATGGGTACAAAAAATTATGGTCTCTGCCCTTGGCTAAACAGCATATTGTTGAGTCGTTTCAGTCGTATCTGACTTTCTTTGACCTTGTTTGGGGTTTTCTTGGCAAAGATACTGGAGTGGTTTTGCCATTTCCTTCTCCAGCTCATTTTATAGATGAGGAACGGAAGTAAATAGGGTTAAGTGACTTATGTAGGGTCACACAGCTAGGAAGTGTCTTAGGCAGGATTTGAACTCATGACCTCCTGACTCTAGGGCTGGCACTCTATCCACCAGGCCACCTAGCTGCCCAAAATAATATGTACCTATCCATAGAATACAGAATGATGTTTCAAAAAGAGGTCTTGACTTAAACCTGGAAGACACAAGTTTGGATCCTGGCTGTGTCACTTAATAACCATGTGACTCTGGTCAAACCCCTTAATCCACCTTGAAACTCAGTTTCCTCATCTGTAAAATGAGGATGATTCATTCAAATGACCTCTAAGCTTCCTTCCAGATCTATATCTATCTTATGATCCATGGAAGTGAGTTAATGTGAAGTGCTTAGTATAACTTAGAGCAAAATGTAAATTTTTATCACTTAATGGAATAACATGGCAATAGATGATAGCCTATGCTCAGTGCCAGATAAAGGGTCCAGCTGATAAGCTGAGAAGCAAACCCAAAGAGGCCCCTGAGATGGTAGATGAGCTGGGAAAATCTCCTGATCCTCTCTCTAGCACTTTCTGCATCTGGAGTACAAAGTGGCTTTGCTCATGTGAGCAAAGTGAGGATGGGAATGAATGAAGCAGAGTAGCTACTACCCAGGAGACTCTTGGAGGAAATAGCTAAGGCTCAGGCTAGCAGGGCCAATCTACCGGAGCACTGAAGTGACTTCCAGCAGCTGTGAGCCAGAGGCATTCCAGAAGGATGAAAGGTAATCAGGGAAGTCAAGCTACGGCTCTCCTGGCCCCAGAACCGCTTCCTTCTGCTGATAAAGCAGCAGGTAGATTCCTTCATCTGTGTCCTGCTCTGGGTTCTGGAATTTCTCAAAGATCACATGCCTGGGTCATGGGGCCTTCTGTCACGGGGAACAACAGGAAAATTGGATTTTTCAAGGGGGTTGGGACTGAGGCTGGAGAAGGAAAAGGGAAATTAAACCCCTCAGGCCATCTGGGTAAACCACTTGACCATTGCTACATATATGACATCAACAAATACTTTAGAAAACACTAAGAGGTCTAGAAAAAAGCATTGTGTATTGGAAAGAATAATGCATTCAGAGTTAGGAAAGTTGGATTAATATCTTGCCTCTGCTGTTTGCTACCTGAACAAGTCATTTTCCTTCTTGGCACCTTAGGGTTTTCTCTTATAACATTGTGCTATAGTCAAAAGTGTTAGCTAGACAAAGAGTCGGAGGGTATATCTTCACATCCGACTCTGGCTTCCTGCGTGACATTGGGCAAGTCCTCTCTGAATTTCATTTTCTTCATCTGTAAAATAAAGGGCTTCCTTCCAGCTTTAAAGCTATGATCCTATGAGGGTTTGGAGCCAGATGGTTTCTAATGTTCCTCCCAGCTTGAAATTCAGTTTTGGATGGGCTGCTGCTAGTATTATATAGTTAATATGAATTTTTGAAAACAGAGTTAGAACCTGCATTAGTAGAGGATAAGGTGGGGTAGCTGATGGATTTTTGGAAAAGCTTTCCCTTTTTTCCCTATATAGTGTTCCAGATCAGCAGGGATCAATTCTGGTGTGTCTCCATACATTGCTGTTATTATTCAGTCGTTTTCAACTCTTCATGACCCTTTTGGGGTTTTCTTGGCAAAGATACTGGAGTGGTTTGCCATTTCCTTCAGCTCATTTTACAGATGAGGAAACTGGGGCAAATGGGGTTTAGTGACTTGCCCAGGGTCACACAGTTAGTAAATTTCTGAGGCCAGATTTGAATTTAGGTCCTCTTGATTCTAGGCCCGGCACTCTATCCACTGCACCACCCAGCTTCCTGTCTCCATAGGATCAGAGATCTAAACCTGAAGGTGACCTCAGGGGTCATAAAGTCTAGTCTCCTTATTTTTAGATGAAAAGAATGAGGAAGCCCCAAGTTTCTGGATGCTACTATATGAAACAAAGATGTAACCCTGCAGGGACTTTTGGTTCCCCAGTAGACAGGCAGAGGTAAGAACAAAGTCTTCCTGGAGAAAAGGCAGACTGAAAAAGAGTTTGGAGAGCCACATTTTAGATGGGGTGATTGTCCTCTTCTTGTCTTTGTAGCCTTCAAGAGGTGAAGAAGCAGGAGGCCTGATGTGACTGGTTGGCCTCCTGGGGTGTCACCAGCTGGTCCATCCACCCACAGGCTGAGGCAGGCCACCCCACCCTGGGGCAGCCCTGCTGCACCTCCCCTGCTGTGGGCAGTGCCACAGGGAGCATGCCAATGACCACTACCTCCACAAACCCAGCTGCTGCAGCCTCCCCTGCTGTGGGCAGTGCCATAGGGAGCATGCCAACGACCACTACCTCCACAAACCCAGCTGCTACAGTCTCCCTCGCATCAGGGATTCTCATGGGTGGCAACCTGCCCTCTGACACTGCTGGTGCCCTAGAAGGCAATATTCTTAACTTCCTAGGGAAGGGAATGCTGGAGGTTCTGAAGGGGGTGGTAGAGGGGTATCACCAATTGACCAAGGGCCAGTGGGCATTGGCAGAAGGTCAAAGGCAGCTGGCCACTGCCATAGACCAGTTGTCAGCCACCTTGGAACAGCAGAGGCAGCTGAGTACTGCTTTCCTCCAAATGACCCATCTGAACCTCCCACCTGTGAGGGACAGTGTGGCCTCGAGCCTGGACCAGACCCTCTCTAGCTCGGAGCAAGTGGTGAGCCTCAGTCAGGGAAAGCGTGGGCTCAACAACCTCTTGTCTCCCCCCAGCTCTTGGTTTCCCTATGAAAGGGATGAGCCCTCAAGCCCATGAGGGGGATGAGCCCTCAGTGTCAAGATTGCCTTTCTCCTCACTTCCACTGTCAGGTTTTTGTTTTATTTGTTTGTTGGTTTTTGTTTCCTCCTCTGACAGTTGTTTTCATTGTTCTCACTGTCCCAGAGCTAGACTTTTCCTTCAGATTCTTTTTTTCTTTTTCTTTTTTCTTCCCTTCTCCTTTCAGTAAATTACAAAATTTTTAATTGCAATTATATTATTTTAAGTTTCAGAGAATCCCTTCTCCTCTTTTCCTTCCTCCCTCCCTTCCTTTCTTCCTTCTTTCCTCTTCCCTTCTTCTCTCTTCCCTTCCCT